CATTCCTTGTTTGCAAAAACAGAATCGACCTGATGGGTAGCAGCACCACAAAACACAGAGAGATTTTAATCAGCTTGGCAAATAGAGGAGGTTGAAACTGGGTGTAAGGCCACAATCAGAGCCAAGAGGCCCCCTCGAGGTTAATCTGAACTTTAAAAGAAATCCAATTAACATGCTGGCGCTAAAGAGAGAAACACTTGTAGGGCATCTTTTGTGTAATACTGCTTCTGTAAAAGAAAAAAATAAGGTATTTTCTCACCGTGACACCAGGGGAACTAGAGCCTAGTTGCTACGGCCTTTATAAAAGTCAGCTTTTCCTTTTGTGCTGTAGAAATGTGGGGTCTGCACTCAGACAAAGGCTCTTTATTTTCTCACTTTGTTTTCCTGAGGTCATTTTGCCATCTTTTCCGTGTGTGCAGAAAGGAAAAGAAAAGACCACAGTAACAACCACAATTAAACTGTAGCACAGTATATAATACCACTTTCTACTGGTTTTATCTCAGAGGCCAACCTGGTGTGAAAAGAGGACGTGCTCAAGTTTCAAAATGTTTATGACCTGAAACACTTTTCATGCAGATACTTTGTGTTTACTAAAGTTTGGAGACATCGGTGTTTTGACAAATGTTGTCATTAGCCGTTATAATTGTCTGTTCACGCTCCATCTCTTATAAATGAAAGGTCAGTTCCTCCCTCCTGCTGCAATTACCTGGACCTTGGAGAGCCTTGTGTCTTCAGGTCAAATCTGTGAGGTGAACAGCTCCCAGCTGGAAGTGAATGTTTAAATTCCCCCATCAACAAAATTAAGAGCAGAATTAGGGAGATGTTAATCAAGCACAGTCTGTACACACCCTCACAATCCCGACAAGACGTCTTCTCGGGAAAAAGAAGTGACAGCAACTGAGTGGGGCACCGTGGTGGTGTGGGACCTTTGAATGATAAAGCTAGCCTCAGTTTATGAACAAACTAATTTTAATTAAGACTATTTATATTTATATAACAATGTGCTCTCTCTCTAAAGTGTATATTTTATTGTTCTAGTTCTTATTTGATTTAACTCTTTTGTAGTCTCTGAGGCGTGTTCAAGTGCCACTTTTTGGTCCCAGTGAAGGTGTTGTATGGCCCTGCAACAGTCAGCCTTTGTTGTCAGCTTGGTGTGTCTCTGCCCTGTGGTGTGAAGTAAGGGTCAGTGACGCATGTTGTACTGTGGCTTTGTGAACAGTGACCTAACACCCATGCTCTATCTTCATTTCATCACACAGTATCTGGGTCACAAAATCCACCCCGATCCTTAGAAAATCCTCCTGGATGTCAGCACAGACATCTTTTCCACCTTTGTCGGCTGATTGTTGCCAAAGCTAAACATCACAGATAAAAAGTGCTTCTAAAAATAATAAAGAATCCTGCCACCCCATTTTCACCTCCAACCAGAACAGTTAAAGTGTTCACTAATAGTGAGCAGATTGTTCTTGTCTATAGTGAGAGCTCATTAGTAAAGTCGGGCAACATTAGATTTAGGTTACAACAACATCTGTATGAGAGGCAAAGAATCAGTACATGATGCCCTGGCAGTGAGAACAAGGTGGCTCTTCAGACTCATCAGTGGTGGCAGTTTACCCAGTGTTAGTAGTAATAGCAGTGTTTTGACGTGTCTTCTGTCTGTCACTGACATGTTACACTGTTTTCTATGTAAAGCTGGTGGTGTCCTCATGCATGTCTCAGTGTGCTGATGTACCTTTTTTTATTTTGAGCACATTAAATCTCCTGAGAGCATGAATTTGATCACACTTTCTTCCCATCCTGGCTACTACACCATGACTACTTCTCTATATACTGCAAGGCCAGTATGAGGTATGGGTGTCAACTGGTGTGCATAAAATGACACCATTAGCTGAGTCCCTGGATTGGAATGAAGTTTCATTAGCTCCCAGAAGTCAGAGGCTCTCAAACCTAAATGAACTGAACCAGTTTAAAATTAAACACTTCAGTCCTCTGCATAATTTTAGTTCCTTTAGTTTACTTTCCTTCTGCTCAACCAGAATAAAATGAATACAAAAATCTACAAAGAGCAGTGAAGGTTATAGAGTCCCAGCCATATTCTAGTTATATTTCATTAGACCAGATACCTGAGCTGGAGCATCACAAACAGCTAAAACTCAGCGCCACATTAGTTGAAGCTGTTTTCACACTGTTTGAAGAATGTAAGCTGAGGAGAAGCAGCACATCAAAACTTTATGGCAGTGACAGATTTCTTGAAGAAAATGTTATTGAAGCACAGCAGTATTTATAGACAGCGCAAAGCATCTTGTTTGCTCCCCTCAAATCTGTACGGAGGAAGATGCACTATTCATGCTCCCAGTCTACATCATCTATTTATGGAGGGAGGAACTGTGATATATAATGCAGGCCTCTACACAGGATCAGACAGTGTGGAGGGCATGTGGCAAAGGCTTAACATCCTCATATACCAGCTACCACTTCACACTCAGGAGAAATGCTCACTAATTGAGGTCAGAAGTGCATTTTATCCAAACTTTTAAAAATCACTTTCAGCCCGTTTGTCCGCTCCTTTTAACACAGTGAAATGGAGGAATGGCCCCTCATCCTGTGCTGAAATTAAAAGCCTTATAATACGTTAGACCTCTTGTCACCCAGGTGGATGGAAAAGCAGCTTCCACATCTATATGGGTTAGGAAGGTCTTTGGGCTACTTTATCCATTAAATGAACCTATTAGAGCTTCATCTGAGCTGCCAGGGCTGCTGCGATCTCATGTCAGTGGCCTTGCCAATCAGTCTCCCCAGGATGCTGTGGTACCCATCAAGGTCCCCTGGATTTAGAGCCAAAATGACTGTCAAATAGCAATGTGATAGATGGGAAAAGAATCATATTTACCTCTCAAACAATCATTTGCATATAATAAAAATATGTAAAATATAAGAGAATCTATATGCATATCTGTCTGGAGCATATGGCGTCTCCATTGGATGTGGTGTGATGACTGTCTGTGTGTGTTAGCCTCACAATAGGGAAATTCAGCACAGCTGGTTGTGCACAGTTGGTCACACTGTACACCTCCATCTACAGCTGAAAACCTGTTGTGTTTAGCTCTGCTCTCACACACAGGATGCAGCTAGAACAGTTTACCTTTAGTTATGTTTCATATAACAATATAATAACAATATAAGAGACACAGCTTCCCTGAAACAGAAATAATCTTGGTGATTAAAGCTGATGTCAGTGGGCGTATGTTTGGTACCAGTGGGGAATATATAGGTAGTTAGCCACAATGAAGGTTGTGTGTCACCTTCAAAATTGATTCTTCTGCTAATACCTTATTTGGTCTGGTATGACCAGTAGCCTACAGTGATTATTGTTGGCAAATACTGGCTAGAATCAGTGTTGCTGTGTAACTGACACTGTAGGGTCTGCTTGTTGATTCATTGGAGCTTTTCTACTGTTACACTATGATTTAACATTAACCATTCATCTGCTCTGTCACATGCTGTGACTCATAACATTTTCCTTTCTTGTCACTTGCACCCCCACCCCTGGTTTCAGAATATTGCTACTTACGTTGAAGAGTACCTTCATACAGGCTGCATTTCTTTAGCTTGTTGCACATTAGCTCTGTACTGTAATGCTACACAGTGCTCAGAAATGCAACAAGATGTTTTAAAGCAAGATTACTCACTTGTCTGGGTACACTCACTGAGATTTACTGTTGTTCAGCCAGTGTGATTAATGTATTTCTGCCTCCTGAGCAGATGTCAGATCATCGCTGCAGTTGATTTGCCATCAAGAATCTTCTGTGCCTTTTTTGGCCCATCATAAGATACCGTGTACTATATCAGCAGTCAGAACAGGGACATATTGAAAACAGTCAGAATATTATATGAAGGAAACATCTTGATCCACTCTAAAAAATAAAATATTTTTTTCCACATTCCAGTTCATGCCTGTGCACTGGTGTCCAGTGGTGAGCGGGTGACTGCAGCACGCCAACAGGACACCAATAAAGCTGCTGAGCCTGCTCAGAGTACACAGGCAGCTTGGTCTGAAGAGGCTATGAATACTAATGGAATTGATTTATATTTCCATTTCCTGCAGGGAGACGTGGGCTTTTATTGCAAAGAAGGAGCTGAGAGCGTTGTGTGTGCTTAAAAGGCAGCTACACAGTGAAGCCTTCAGAGGCCCTGCAGTTCTTCAGTGTCTTCAACATTGACCAACACATTAAGGCCCTGCAGACTGAGCAGCTAGTAGCCTTTATGAACGTCCACTGGAGAAATGACTGTGTGACCATAGCAGCACGTAAGCAAGTTGGAAGAGGAGATACAGTACCTGAAGGCAGCACTCAGTTTGGGAAAGGTAGCGTGAGGATGAATGTGCTTAAAAGGTAGATTTTCATCTAGAACTTTTCTTGACTGTCTCAGCTTTAGTTTTGGTCTTAAATGGCAGTAGTTTACTAGATATTGTAATTTATTTCAGTTAACCATATGGAAAATTTGCTCCAGTACCTAGCTGGAGTATACCTACAGTACATGTACTGTACAAGCATATGTGCAAAAACACTGAAGTGGAACAAAAGAAAGCCAGGATAACTGATACTACATGAGACTATATGACCATTACAAGATAATCAGCTGTTCATATTTTGAGCTAAAAGCCACAAAAAACCTTTACAAATATTAAATGATATAACAAAAAACAGCCGAGTCTCCAGACATTACATTGTAGGTGCTGAGTTTGTAAAGTATCTGTGACATTGAAATATTTGGACCTAAACTAATTATAATGAAGATACTTGGCATGTACTGTATATTGAATTAATAGTTAAATAAAAAAAAAAGGACTGAAGATTAATTTCTTATTTGCATTACTTGGAATAATAGCATATACAAAATCACCTTAGGAAGCCAGAAAGATGGAGTCTTCTTTGAGATTGGCCTGTTTATAGCATCAGATGTGGTTGTAAATCAATCTGTGTAGGTTAGAGTGAGAGATTTATGGCTTTTCATTAGAGCAAAGGCTGGAGAGGGCACTTAAAATCTGCACTATTACCTCTACAGCAGGCGCCATGCTAATAATAAAAACTTGTCTCTGGGATGAAAGTGACTGAGCTGAGGAACTGGTCGAGCAACAATCACTGAACATCTGTTGCAACAGACAGTGAGAGAGGTTGTTTCCTCCTGTGCTATGCAAACCACAAGTGCTTTGATCCAAGATGTCTAATGTATCAGGTCAGTGAACATATTTCTATGCAAACTGAATCATTAAATAAATGAACATGTTCAGTTATTTTTGTTCCCTTTCAAACCAAGTTGTGGCTTTTTAAGAAAGCAGGTGTTGGAAAGATTGACATGGTAACCCGGGATGGTAAATACAGTAAATGACAGGCTTTGCACTGAAAGGCGATGGCAGCAACCTTTAGAAAAAAACTCCAAGCCAACACTCTGATAAGAAATAAGCCTGGAAATGTCAAAGCATCATAATCAGTTTCACTTTTAATTTGCTGCTCTTTTTGAATTAAACACAGCTGAGAAGTCACTGCTATCCTAATCCTTGCTCGGTGTTCCTCCATTACCTTTTCAGTGTCTTGGTTTGATGAGAAAAGCTTGAAAGGTTTGTGAATACCCACATCACAGACTCACTTATGATAAACAGACCATACCAGAGAGATGCTGTTTGCATCACTTGACGTCCCTGCTGTGTCCTCACTGTGACATGACCACAAGTCAGGTCTGCTTTTGAAAAAACCCTCTGATCATGATTTGAATGACACAGTGCATTCTGTTTACAGCCCTTTTCGCTTTTATTGAATAGATGCTGAAAGTCCTTCTGAGGAAAAAATAAAATGTAAAAAATGCACAACAGCCATGTTGAGATGAAAGACAGAAACAGTAACATGTGAAATACATTTTGCACATACTTCCTTAACGAATGCCATGCAATGTGATATGACGTCCCTGTCTCACAAGTCAGGGATGAACTTGGCTCCCAAACCAGAAATATGCTACTTGCATATATATTTATGAGAACTTTGCCATTTTACACACTGAAGCAGCAGTAGCCTGAAGCCTGCTGCAGAGAGGTCTAAATACAGAAACACAAGACGATGAAAAATCATATGAAATCACTTTATTCTCAGACTGTGCAGTGATTCCATTTTTGCAGGAAAGTTAGACTGAAACATCTGTCTAAAATGGCATGCAGTGAGGTTAACAGGTGGAGGACACGAAACGACTATATCAACAACCTTGACTACATCGCACACAATAAGCATGCATAAATTTTGTCAACAAATAGTCAGAGACACAGAGAGAGAAGATTTCGCAGTACAAACGAATGCACCAAATCAACATTGTTTCCCCTCAAAATACCAACAACCAGAGGACAGAAACAGGACAGCTACAGACTGTAAAGAAAAAAGCACTGCATTTTCTCAACACAAGCAGAACAGAGAGAGACAAATGCGAGGAGAAAGAAACAGACAGTTACATTCAAGTCACATCAAAGGAGTAATTTTTTTCAAGTGGCATATGTTTCAGGCAGTTTTTATCATAATGGATGTTTGAGTGGCATAAGTGAGTGACTTCAAACCAAAGAGGCTTACTCAACGACAAACTATTGATTACACATGACCTGGGCAGTTGGTTTGGGCAGTGGTCTAGAAGCTGTTTGGAGCACAGTCGACTGGTATTTACAAGCTGATGGTCAGTGGGTTATGATGCTGTTTGTGGTCAAGACGTGAAGGGTGGTCTGACTCACTGGTAGTCTGAAGCACAGCACGTGGATGATGTTTTGTTGCTGGGAGAATTCTATACAGGGGCAGTCATTGTAGCTTTCTGGAATATTTGTGAGCCAAACAAGAAATATGGCATTTATAAATAAAGACTGGCACAGGCTTGTTAGGCCCCTGACTTTTAAATGGTTGTTTTAGCTCAGAGAGGGTGAATCATTTACGGCTAGTTATGGTTTAAACATCTATTTAAACTTAAAGCTCTAATACCTGAGAATTTTAAAATAAATAACGAATGCAGTAATTAAAAAAGAATGTAACCCCTTGTCTACTATTAATAGCACTGTTCTTTGGTTTGACTGGATAACTGCTCTGATAATGGATCGGATGTTGATACATTACTGGGTTGCTAATTATCTGCTAACACTGAACAGTCTGGCAAAGGCAGTTTACAAGTACATTAAAATCACAGGAAGTTCAATAAATGTGCTCTACAGATGACCTCATTGTACCACACTGTGTCCTTGGATGATTTTTAATATATTCAACATGATTACAGAGTTCACAAAGTGCTAATAAAAGCTAAATTCCTTCATCTACGCCACATGAACGCACACATTCAGGATTAAATGTTCTTTCGTGTTTAGATAGCTTAATAACAGTGGCAAAAAGCTGGTTTAGAAAACCTTGGTTACACCTACAGCTATTGTAATGTGATGAATTTCTGTGTATATTCGATTCATTCTAACATCTACTTCTGGGTTATAACAACAACATCAAATTTAAATTATTCATCATGATGTTTTGTAATGCTACCAAGGCATTGACTGAGGCCTACTGTAAATAACTAAGCTCGTGTGCGACCGGCAGCAGGTCTGGTGGAATGTCTGAAATATCAGGAATGTTTTTACAAGACACTGTGGAATGAAGGAGAAAATAAATAAAACATAGCATATGGAGAAAAGACTGATTTTATCATCATAGCCCCCCTCCCAACATAAATTTGTGCCATTACCTACAGGACAAACTGGACTCTACAGACCAGGTAAACACTGTCGGGTGTATGGTGATGGGGCTTTCACACAGGGATCAGGGCTTTTTAAAAACATTACTTCATCTCAGTTCTCTGCACGGTTTGTAATCTCTACCTCAGTGTGACTTAATGTTTGGAATGTGATTTTGAACACAAATCCTCGTGCTCGTCATTCTGTGACATGACTGAACATTTTTATGACACAAAACAATTTGTCCCACCTTCCCCCCTTTTTTTTTTATTGTTTTTAAATCAAACATGTCTGACCTACAAAGACGTCACTGTCATTATGCAGACACATTTGTGTCTTCAACATTGACCAACACATTAAGGAGTAAGTATAAACGCACAATGAAGACTGTCTGTTATTGCTGATCTGGGACTTCACTCCCATCAGTTAAACCAATGGACACAGGACAACTTCATTTTAAACAATATATTGCACTATTGTCGCTGTCTGCTCACAACATACTTGTGTTTGTGAAGTTTTTTTTTTGATGAAAAGTGCTGAAAATGTTAACAAACTAAAATGAACAGGCCTGGTCAAACTTTTACACGTCCTGTTGCAAAAACAAAGCGAGGACATCAAACTGATTTTAAAACACAAACATTTATAGCAAGTGGATTTATAGTAAGAATTTCATCTAACTGATTTGAGACAAACTTTATGTGTGGAGAACATTTATAGTTTTCCCCATGGAAGAGCATTTCAGACTCAAAGTCCATTATCGCCTACTGTACACGGGCCAACAAGATGTCAGACAGATCCAAATGGAAAACCAGTTATTGCCTCAAATGTGACTGTTTCACTTCATCAGAAAATGAAATGGTGTTCATATGTGTACTTCACGAAAGTTTACTGCATGCTTTAAAAAAGTCAACAAAACAAAAACATTTCAAATGATGGTTTTCTTCACTTACCAGCGCTCAATTAACACTTTCACAGTAAACCAATAAAATCATAAGGAACAGTTTATGGGGTGAATCGTAATAGCTGAGAACCAATAAAAATGCAAGTATTTATATACACTATATGTATCAAATATTAGCAAGAACATAAGAGAATTGAATCAAATTTTGATACGATTTGGATACTTCCTTAAAAGTTAAAAATATGGCTTATACTCTTATTCAACTTGTTATATGTCATATTTCACTCATATATACTTCTTTTATAACCCGAGGCTATTTACAAACACAAAGGGTGAGTGATGGGTGATAACTGGTCTTGGACTTTGGACAAGACATGGTATCACTTTGCCTTAAAGTGAAGACACTAGGTCTGTGATGGCGTTATGTACTTTTTAAAATAGGGTTATAATCACAGGTTATCAAGCAAGATGCTCTGTCGAAGTACAAACCACCATCAAAGATCGTGTAGTTTCACTCAAAGGCAGAGTCATGGCAGGTTGATCAACTCCAGGACACTTAGAACTTGGGTTGTAGCGGTGGGAGGGAGGTGAAGAAGGGTGTGACTGTGGGTGTGGGTGGTACAGCCTCATATTTCACCCAAAACACTGTTACTTTTTATTGAACATATCCATGAGCGGGGCTGGGATGAATTTCATGACCGTATCCACGATGCTCTCCTCTTCCTCCTCGTCACCACAGCCGGTGGGCACTGCCTTCTTCGGACGGGTGAGGCTGCCCTCGGAGGCCTGCTCCATAGCAGCCGCCGCCTCTGCTTCCTTCTCCTCCTTCTTCTTGATGCCATACTACACAGGAAAGACAAAACAAGACCAAGCTGCCATATTATTAAGCTGCAACAGAATGGGATTTACAGTATTCCTCTAAGGGGGTTTGTTTATACTTCTGACAGCCATTTAACCAGCATTTATCTCAGTTATAAAATTTGGGGTTGGGGTTAACATTTTAGGCAAAGCCTCTAACAAATTGACATTTTTGGAAATGTGCATAATCACTTTTATTTTATTTTATTTTTTTGCTAAAACCACTCATTTCTGTCCGATACATGCACTGTAAAAGTCAAGCCAGGAGAGTAGGAGGCATTTTTTTGGTGATAGACAGACTGGCTCTTTTCCTGCTCCATCTGCACATGAGTGCAGCTGCAATCTTATCATCTTTATTATTTTTATTATTTTTGCACTGTCCCTACTGAAACACTTGTCATGGCTGCCTCTCGCGTTCATGTCACACTTCAGGTTCCCTGTTGAGAAACTATGTAAACTGCAGATGTGAGACACCAGTGAACAGGAAGCTGAGTCCTCACTCTCTGCTCTGCAGAAGCAACTTCCTGTTAATAACGTGTGTCTTCAAAAAGTGGCACTTTTTACTCTAAAGATAGAACTGCAGGAGGCATGACACGATCATTTCATGGATTTGAGGTAAAGTGAGTGAAAACGAATAGCGCTGCAGCACAGTAATTCAGATTATTTTTATTGTATTACCTTCAGGCTGAATGAAGTTAAGCACAGTGCAAACTGTAGAGGACCTGCACTAACAGAGGTTACGTTAATTTCTGTGCTTACTGTGATGCAGAGTTGGAACTGAGCAGAATTTTAGGTTTTGTGTTTGTGACCGTGCCTGGGAGCTGTAGCTGCTGCTGGCTGTAATTTGACCTTCCTTGATATTTTATGTACTAATTAAAGGCAGAGGCGGTCAGCAGGTGTGCCATACAATGCTATCAATTAGTTTACAAAACCCAGAGCCCCAGCAGGCTTCTATTAAATCAACACTGTGAGAGCACAAAATTGCAATTTAAAACATTAGAAAACAGCAACATCTGGGAAATTAGTTTCACCAGCACATTTATAATAAAACAATCTCCTCCATTGTTACTTTAAATTTACTGTGGAAGTAGTTTTAAAATTATGTGGCTGATTTCCTTGTGGAACATTTCCTTACTGTGATGTCAAATGACCAGACTCTGTGCCAGATTCTTACCATGGCAACTGAGCAACAGACCATTGTATCCAAGGTCAGC